GATTTTATTCAGTGCTAGCTGTAACTCTTTCTGGACAAGAGAACATGATTTCCCTCGACAAAATATAGCGGTATCGTCAGCGTACACACATAGTTTAAAAGAATTACCAAATTTAATATTACATGCATCATTAATGAATATAGAGAACAATAGAGGCGATATCATACTCCCTTGCGGGACACCTTTCGATATAGGTCTAAAATTGGAAAGACTATCGTTCACCTTAACACATTGTTCACGGTCATGTAAATAATTAGAAAACCAAATAGCCTCTGTTTCTTTTACACCATACGTTGATAATTTAGATAAAAGTAGTTCATGAGAAACAGAATCGAATGCACTTTTCACAGAATATGTGTGAGTGTATATGTGTTTGTTAACAACTTTAAGGCTGAATCTATACTGAATCCAACACAACTATAGTTAACACGTGCAAAATTGTACCTGACCATTAACATCGATCGTAACCTCGATTACATCTTGAATATCTCTTAACCCACCACTGAATACAATCGCTTTACATAACATACATGGTATCGCATATAAATTTAGATGCTGCTTTAACGCAACGGAATCTCCCCTCTCCGGCTATTCACCTAACAGGAATTCTACTCGATATTATCATTATGAACAGACGAGCCAGAATATTTCAAGAGCAGACTTCACGATTACTTCTAAATATGGAAGCTCCACGCGAAGAAAACGTTGTGTTATACCTTTCGTCACTTTCTTATCAAACAACCCACTCCTATTGTGCATTAATTATAACCTCGCTATTCAGTGGACCATCCTCAGAACGACTCGGTCAGAGCCGATGGAGATGATATAGACGTCAATGGATTTATGAATGTTTCATTCCATCATTGTTTTGAGTGAATGGATTGATCTTCCTGTCTATTTGTGTTTTTAAATTCCTATCTCTTGCCATTATGACGTCAGAATTCATTGCTATATCTCATGCATGTCTGTACTACGGAGAAATGAAGATGAGTGGGGGACAGAATGTGACGTGACTCTTAGGATACTCATAATATTAGCGCACTGTCTAAGAAAAGTAAGGAATGGTCAATTCTCGAAGAAAGTATATTCTTGTATTTCCTGTTTTTCGCCAAACGTTAGTTGATGGAAGACAAAAGACACGGAGAGGGGAATGCTCTCTCTCTCCCCCCTCTCTCCCCCCTCTCTCTCTCTCTCTCTCTCTGTCTCTCTATATGTCTCTCTCTCTCTCTCTCTCTTTCTCTGTCTCTATATATCTGCCTATATATACCTAAGAACATATCAATTTATCTTCCTTTCTTCCTTCTTTTGTTTTTTTGTTTGTTTGTTTCTTTCATTCTTCCTTTGATGCAGTTCAATGTAGCAAGTACAAATATAACGAATAGGCTACGTTCAACCGCCCACTATATAAATGCCCTTCGAGCACTGACAGGCAATGACCTTTCCAACACCTAGGAGAACTTCTTTGGTCTTGAGACAAAGATCTTGAAGATCTTTTGTGGTGCGGTCATTCCTAGAACTATCTCATGGTGTTAAGCAGAAGCCAACCAGAGGCCGCAAAACCAAGAGATATATTCAGCTGACTTGTTTTACGAGTCTGATAACACGCTAATATATATAATTATAAAAAGGATGTGGAGAGGCGTGGAGTAAAATCTTATGAATCACCACCTCCACCGCGACAACCACTGTCATCATCGTCATCATCATCACCACCACGATCACGACCACGACCACCATCATCATCAGCATCATCATCATCATCCCCATTTTCCGGGGGGGGGGGGGTAATTTTCCGAGGGTAGTTTTTCGTGGGATGATTTTCCAGGGGTAACAATCCTGATACGGCTTGTTAGTATAGAGCAAGACGGGGACGTCTTCTACGAGGAAAGAACCGTTTTCACACTCGTGCATCCCCCTCCCAGAGATTCCTTGTTCAATGCTGACTAGAATTGAGAGCTCCAATCTGTCTGCGAATCAACATGACATTTTGTAATAATCCCTGATTAATATGTGTACATGTTTACACTTTGGTGAATTAAATGGAAGAGTTAATTACCCCCAACCTTGCTCCCATAACCTGCTCCACTAAAATCCATGAAATACCGTTACATGACAAGAAAGTGAATGGTTGTATAGCGTGCCGCTGTGGTAGAAGTCGGTAGTGATTAAACTTCATGAGGATGATTCACATCAAACCCAAAACCGGTCTAGATTCCGCTCTAAACGTTTGCCATACCTCTGTGCTTTGTTCACTCGCCGGACATACATACTTGAGGGTAACCTATCTAAACATTGGTTCACATCATTCATACACCTGTATTACACACACCAAACATCAACGTATACAAACCACAAACTATCCGTTATACCTATATCATCATACCTAAAATTACAAGGATAATGCGAAAATAAAAGACGTCCCTTTATAAACTTTGTTTGTGGCAAGGGGTGGGATAGGGGCACGCGACCGAGGGTGGTACTTCCGGCTGTGTATTAGGACGATTACTCCGTGGACGACCACTTCCAAACAAGTACTCCTAGGTCAGGACAATATTCTCAGGGACACTTATCCTTTCCCACCAATATATCTCAAGGGTGTTGAACAAGGATTTAAAGTCAAATTTAACTCTAAGTTGGACTTCAAAAATTATGGAGAGCCATTTGTAGGCTTAAAACAAAATTATTCAAAAGCATTGGGTTTCCGTAGTGTAGTGGTTATCACGTGCGCCTCACACGCGCAAGGTCCCCGGTTCGAACCCGGGCGGAAACAATTTTTAGCGCTTAGAGGCTTCGGTGGTAAGCACTTTAAAAGTAACGTTTTTTTTTTTTTTTATTATTATTATAAACAAAAATTCAAATATTTTTAGGTTTGTCAAGAACATGAAATCTCCCGTGATATCAACATTTTTTACCCTTTAAAATAACTTTTACAAAATATTTTCAAAGATGCTAGTGGCTTTCCATAATTGTTAAGTCCAACTTAGATGTAAGTTCAACTTAGGATATTTGTGAAACACCCCCTGGACAACTTATAGCTACACAGCACTCGGCCATAGGAACGGCAAGGATTTACAAGAAAATACTGATTTGAGTCATTTTTACTCACTCTGTTGTTTTTCAATTTTTAACACCATGTTCTTCTTGCCCTTCCCTTCTCCGACGTCATCCATACAAAGATATATATATATATATATCATCTTAGTTTTCTCATGCAGAATGTCACCTTCATCATTTGGAACAATATTTTTACGAATTTCAGAGCCTATCGAACGACCTACATCCAGAGCCACATCGACCAACGTTTTCCATTCATAAGAGCACGTTTTCTCTCGATTCAAATCAAATTCAATATCTGCATATTTTCACTTAATCTATTCGCAACCATCGGGGTGTTTGACATCAGTGCAAAGAATATCTTTGATAATAATAATATCAATATAGAGGTGCTGAGTTCATGACCGAATGCGACAATGATTGGAGTGAGAGAGATTCTATCAAATGGTTGCAGGCATTTGATATTGTAAATTGTAATATTGTGACAAAACAAGACAAAAATGGGGCTTTATGGAAATTATTTTTCTCTTTGATCAATATGTATAGAACTTGATGAAGAATGGGGATTTATGTTTTGAATGAGTGCATTCTTGCCTCCCTCCTTCTCTCTCTCTCTCTCTCTCTTTCTCTCTCTCTCTCTCTCTCTCTCTCTCTCTCCGTCTCTCTTTCTCTAATTTCTCTCTCTCTCTCTCTCTCTCTGAAGATGTCGCCCAAAATGTTAGAATAATTTTTCGTTATCTGTTCATGAAAATATGATTGTAAGAACATGGTTTATTCTTGATGGTTTAAGTTCTGACAATATATAAACTTTACTTATCTAGAATAACACCATATCTTCACAACCATGTTATGAACAGAGGTAAGAAAAATGATTCCAATCATATGGGCTACAGTGTTTTCTTGAATGTACCTTGGGCCTCACTCGAACTTGGGAACAGAAAAGGATATCTAAATGTAGGATTTACCTTATTCAACTTCTTTACAAGAATGGGGGAGGAAGGAAAAGAGGAAAGGAGTAGGAGAGAGAGGGTGGGAGGGGGAGGGGAGGAGTGAACGGGGGTGGGGGAGAGGAGAGAGAGAGGGAGAGGGGGAGAGGGGGAGAGGGGAAAGGAGAGAGGGTGAGGGGGAGAGGGTGAGAGGGGAGGGGAGAGGGAGAGAGGGGGAGAGGGGAAGAGGGGAGGGGGGAAAGAGAGAAAGAGAGAGAGAGAGAGAGAGAGAGAGAGAATGAAAAAAAAAGGGGGATGGAGGACGTTCAGTTAGTTTATAAACAGTATGTTAATATATTGAGTCATCTTGTTTTTCTGCATTACATGAATCAATTTACAACAATTTCGCAATTCAAGCACACATTTAAAGACACCATGAGAATTAAGCAATAAAACATGAATACATAAATAATATTTCAAACTGTTAAATCTTTGATTGCATCTTTGAGAATATAACTATGAATAATTACGAAATTGTAAGCATTTATGCAGCACAATTAGGTTAAGATCAAAATTTGAAGAACAGTGATAGAGTTTATTCCAGAAATGTCTGCATATCTGTCTTGTATCGGGGCCTTCTTTGTTTGAGCATTGATTGAACCGCAGATACATCACATCGTATTTCTGTTTCGTGTTGGAGTACTTAAAAACAAATTCTGCAAATTCAGGTCTATCTTAGTTGCTTATCATTCGTTGTAAGCAGCTACAATTTGTATTTCACTCATTTTGGATATAACTTTCAAACATTAATTTTGATGATTTTTATTATCTTCAATATGTTTTTTTTCTTCATTTGATGTTGTCTGCTGCCAACTGTGTTATAAAGCAGAACAGTCGCATTACTCATTTGGACGGTTGCAAAACATCTCTTTTCTGGAATGTTTTTTTCTTCCAAATCTCTAAGCGCAGTGTTGTACTGAAACAAACTTGTCATCTCATATCTTTTTTACATTTCTTGCATCATATAGTAATTATGCAACACTCTACTGAAACAACGAGTATAAAACTAAGTAATGGAATAGAGAGAACTGGTGGAAGGCCCCCATGAGATGAATGTGTTATGGAGTCATTATACGTGGTCAAGATGGTTGCTTCTTCTTCAGCTGTAGTTTTATAAAGAGAGAAAAAAAATGAAAGTATTTTCAAAACATGCAAGAGAAGGTAAAACAGGATACTGCACACACTATGGCCCGAAATCACAAAGGAGGTTTGTCGACAAACCTTGGTTTTCGTGCGTCATGACGCGTTTCGACGCGTTTTTACAAACCAGGTTTGTAAAAAACGCGTCAAAACGCGTCATATGACGTACATAAACCTCGGTTTGTCAACAAACCTCCTTTGTGAATTCGGGCTATTGGGTGAGACTGGAGATGAGTTGTTGATCAAGGATGAATTAATGAGAAGAAGGAGACTGTTTAATGGGGAATATAATACCAGTGGCGTATTAAGTGGCAGCAGAGGGGTACGTGCCTCGGGCGGCACGTGGAGGGGGTGCAAAAAACACACGCAAAAAGAAATGGAAAGGAAGGGAAGGAAAGGATCCAAAATGTTTAGAACGCATGGAAGAAAGAATCATGTGTTGATTCAATTTGATTAATTAACCATGTTAGTGTGGCAATGCAAGTGGTTACAGTACCTATACAAATTACAGTGACACATCACTGTAGAGGCCTGATCCTATATCGTATCTTAAAATAATATTCATAATTCATGGTTGTGAAGTTGGTGGCAAATTATTGGACCAAGATTAGAAGACATATAGCTCCGTTTAGTCTCATTTCACAACGCCCCCTATCGTCAGAGTCAGCAGCCTAACATGTTAGCCTATGGAATATTACCAAAAAAATCGTTAAAAATTCATTTTTTTGTTTAAACAAAAAGCACATCACCCCGACGTACGTTAGCACTATAGCTCTTTCATTGGAACCCTCATGTCGCATTGACTTTTGAAAGTTCACCCACCGTATTTTGATAAGCTCGTCATTGCCTATAATACACATGTGAAAACAAGTCGAACTTTGGACTCAGTTTGCCATGCGATTTTAAGATTATAGGTCAAGCACACGAAGGATAAGAAGCATGAATTATCATAGATCACTTCTGCTTGGTTTATTATGTCCATTTCATCCAACCCCCACCGTCATTTTTCCATTTAGTAAAAGCAAACATTTTGCCGAGGTAAGCAAAAACATGAATATTCATGAACGGTCAGACAATACAGCCTTTTAGTACGTAACGTATAGTGAATGGGAATGGGCGATGATCCGTCCAGGAGGTAGAGGTCAGTGGTTTGTGCTGGCAATGTTCCAGCATGGAGATCTCCATGGTTCCAGCGAGCGAAAATGAGACAACCGGAGCAATATGAAAATTCAGACATGGCCTTGAGTACTCGTGGGACCTGAATATCATATCTTCATCAATGTGACAAACTTCAATAGATCATTATTACCTGACAATGTAGGGTTACCCGTTGGGCAAACTGGTTGAGAGCATGGCATGGTATTATTCATAGGTGTGTATCCTTCTGTTACGACACACTCACTGGCTGCTAACACCTCTCCAGTCGATCCTTCGATACACTCAACCAAGCGCTCCTTGATCCCGTTTTCGCACGTCACCGAACACTGTAACATATTTGAATGAGAGAAATATGGAATTAAAAAAATAAATTGAAGGTGGTGTGTCCCTTTTGCACGCTGAAAATGTAAACTTCTGTAAATCCTATGGTTAACAAGAGATAATACCTACTAAAACTCCTCTTAAAAGATTAAAACTGGTAATTGCCTTTGTGGAATTATATCGACCGTTAGGAATTTTCGAAACGCGCTTCTTACATTTGCGTAGAAAATAGTCTGATAATTAGACCCTTGTACCGTCTGGGTTACGTTTTGTGCTGTGCAAAGATTCAATCAGCTTAATTTTGATCTTTGCAATATTATAATAATATAGTTGGGAGAATTAAGAAATCGATCAGATCAGTTTTTCCCAATGTTTATCATTAATAATGGTCTGTTTTCACTCAAACTTTCAGATTATTTTTAATTATAAATCTACATGTAGCATTGAAGTCACTACCTTAGCACCATTTCTCTCATCTGAACAATGTTAACAAGTCAAAATTGGTTAGTCACCTGACTCCAGCTACCGATCAACCATATTGCTCCTGGACATAGTTGAGTATTACAGTCATGGATGTGAGAAGGTTTGGCTGATGTTTTAAGACAAAACTGATCACTGACGTTCACTCTCGTTCCATTTATCTCCTGAATAGCGAAGAAATCAACCCCCCCCCAAAAGAAGAAGATTAAATTCAATCAAAGGTTTACATAAACATGCTTATACAAATGATATACAATTCTAATGATAAAACCAACAAGAGCGGCGAGGTAGCGTGAGTTCATCCACTTAGGAGGCACTGGAACGATGAAAGGGGTTGTGGGTGCGCGGGGGTGGGGGGGGGGGGCGGCACTGGTCTTATGCAGGATATGAAATGCGATTTTGCAAGGTTTTCTCCTAGCTACTGAATATTGGGGAGGGTGCTAAGAGTGGTCCAGGCGCCTTCTTTACTCGTCCTTTTCTCCCTCTAACGCCCCCCTTCTCTATTTTCTTACCTTTTCTTTCATTTCATTCTATTACTCTCTTGGTAAGGCCTCCAAAAAAAAGAAGATGTTGTATTGCCCTTTGCGATCGACCCCAAAATCTTGAAATCTACGGTCAGCTTTTTTTAAAAGTTTTTTTTTCTTTACGTTTTTTTAGAGAGAACAAATATTAAAGCATATCAGCCCAAAGAGGGAGAAAAAAAAGTTTTTTCAAAGTTAATTTTTTTTTTCGACCGACCGACCGACCCATTTCTTGGCACCTAAAGGGCAATGCAATTTCTTTTTTTAGGCCTTGGGGGGGGGGGGGGGGTGCCCTTATGTCCTGTAGCTACACCACTGATCGCGATCAAAGCCGAGTTGCTGAACTACGTATAATAATTGAGAGGAATTGTATATAAACTGACTTTAATAGTTAGTAAAATTCAAAAGCAAAGGAAAATAATTTTAAAGAATGTGAACAATACAAATAACCGCAGTTCAAGGATTGATAGTAAAGATGAAAATCACCGAGATGTTAATTGAATTGACCCACATAACTGAGAAGCTATTGTATATAAAAGATTGTATAAAAAAGAATCTGAAAAGTGCAGCTCGTAAATGTCATTTTTCCGGAATACATTCAAGTACAAATTCCCTTGACATTTCGCCATTACCGGATAATCTTGTTAGATCCAGAGATGGAAGTATCACTATTCATGTCTCTGAAAATCTATTCTTATTTGAAATCGACATCGCAAAAGACCAAAAGCTTAATTGTTAGAGTTTATCTTAAAATATCATTTCGAAGGTTGATAAAGAATACATGTCGCATTGTCGACAGAAACAATACAAATCATCTACAACTCTGTGTCGTACAGGACTGTTATTTAGTTACATTTAGTGAATAACTAATCATACCACCACCCCCCCCCAGATGCGACCATGTACATGTATTTTTTAAATCTTTTTATCCAATCCTATTAGAAGAATACCTTCAAACTAATTTCCTTTGAATATAATAAACAGTTAAAGAAAGAAAAAAAAAAAGAATTGGCATTCACACACTGTATATAATTCAGCAAGTGGTAGAAGAAGTAAGATAAACGAAACAAGCACGAACCTCCATACAGATGGGCATGATGGTCTGATTGCCTCCTCCACACGATACTGAGCATTCAGTTAACGGATTTAAGTCCCAACTAAGTGTGTGTGTGAGAGAGAGAGAGAGAGAGAGAGAGAGAGAGAGAGAGAGAGAGAGAGAGAGAGAGAGAGAGAGAGAGAGGGGGGTCAGAGAGAGAGAGAGAGAGAGAGAGGGGGGTCAGAGAGAGAGAGAGAGAGAGAGAGTAAAACAGGGAGAGAGAGAGAGATGGAGGGGGGTTAGAGAGAGAGAGAGAGAGAGAGAGAGTAAAAGTAAAAGAGGGAGAGAGAGAGAGAGAGGGAGAGAAAGACAGAGATGAAGGAGATTAATAAAGGTCTGAACAGAAATCTAAAGAGCAATTCCAGCCCCAAGCAAGTTGAAATGCACACAAGATTGACAAGAAATAAACAAAACAAAACAAAATTAATGAAACAACCAAAACATTTCATGTGAACCTGAACATGCCAAAACATATTTTGATGAAACAATGGTGCAATAACAGATTCTTTATGAAGATGTCGGAATTAAGATAAAATGGCAACTGAATACTGTGATGTCTTTGCGGCTTTGACTTTTTAAAATAATTGTTTGTTTAATTCAAAAAAATTCGCCTTTGTTATGGTAACATGTCTTTGAATCTCTTTACAGAATATGCCTTTGTGAAAAAAAGAGAAAAACAATATTTTATTGAATACTATTGGCATGACTAGTAAGAATTTGCCCTCAATAAGAAACGGGGTCATTATCTGGTTGAAATTATTCGTAATTATACATATTAGAGTCGGAATAATTGCTTTGTTGGTAATTTGCTAGAATTATATTATTAATGTGATTTGTTTCGAATACTTTGATGGAAAATTAAGAATATGAGAAGAAATTTTGTATTCGTCATTGAAAGTATTCAGCTAATTCTCTAAAATTCTTGGAGGGACAACCCCATCCCAAAATAGATGATTACTGATTGGTTGATACAACTCCGAGGAATACTCACTGATAAGAGACAGGATCACTGATTGGTTCATACCACTCGTAGAATGTCTCAGGGTATGTACGAAGCCAATATTCTGTTTGATATCCTAATCGTTCATCCATAATTTCAATGTTGATGGGCTTAGTGGTTGGTCCTGAGAGTATCCGGATCTGTGACCATGCATAGTGTTGCAATCGTAACAAAATATGCATATCGCCGATGGTGTACCTCCGAGATTCAAGTCCGTTAGTGGGATATCTCGAATTGCGAAACCGGGGGCGGAATATGATCTTTCCATCTATTTTCATTCCTGAAAACAAAGACAAATTATAAAAATGGATGTATTCTAGACAAGCTTTATCAAATGGATATCATGAATGCCACGGCGCTTTATCAGGACTGTGGATGAGTATGCCCTAAAGATTAGAAAAGAGCTCTTTCGTATCGCGCACAGTCAGGTGCATAATGTAATAATACACTTTACACAAATTGAATATCACTATCATTATAACCCCCACAACCACCACCAACACCATCACCACCACCACCACCACCACCACCACCACTACCACCACCACCACCACCACCATCATCATCATCATCATCATCATCATCATTATCACCATCCTCATTATAATCATCATTTCAATGATTGAAAAATTGTGATTAAACCACAAAACAAATTGGTGTCTTGCCAACAAGATCTTGGTGAAAGGTCAAAGGTAAGTTAGGATAACTACCTATTTATTCAGAAGAAGGAACTACTCACACTTAACCCTCCTCTTAAAATAATACACTTCGTTTTTGTTTCGCACAACTTTATACCCGACTAATTGCACATTTTTTACACTACACATACTACAAGTTATTTTTATTTTGCCTTGGCATTTCTTTTCTTTTCGAGGCAGTTCACAGCGTCAAGTCCACAGAATTAGTAAGACTATATTTATATAAGGCTATATATGCTAGACAGTTTGATAACATCAATCATAAAAAAATGAACTCACCAAAAGCTGTATCCTTTCCGTCATGGTTTGTAAGTTTAACCATGGTTGCTCCGACTGGCACAGTTATCCAGTGCCAAAATGCTTCAGAAGAAAGAAAATATAAGAAGGAGAAGAACACACCTGATAAGAAGAACTATACCCAACGTTACATGGCAGCATGAATATGAACAAAATAAAACGTCTGATTTTATGAAAAAAGGCTTGTCAAAATTTCTTTTTTTGCGGATGAATTATGTTTCCAAAGCATATGATTCCAATATCCTCCAGTGCAAGTAGAGCGAGAGAAGAAGGGAGGGGTTTGTCGCCTCGTCATCTAATTGTTTGCAATACGATTTTGGTGCACTGCACCTTCCCTCATACGCTATTAAATTGGTCAATCTTGACTGAAACAAGTTGGGAAGAGACAAAGAGAGAGAGAGAGAGAGAGAGAGAGAGAGAGAGAGAGAGAGAGAGAGAGAGAGGGCGAGTTGGAGACAGGGAAACAGAGAAGGGGGGGGAGGGGAAAACAGAGAAAACAAATAAATAACCAAAATAGGGAAAAACCAATGAGCAACAGGTAAGAAAAAAACCAAAAATAACAGGGATAATAACATGAGTACTAGGAAAGAAAGGATGATGGGATACACTTACTCCTTTTTGGTATAATTTGTAAAAGAGTACCCTGTACTAATCTACATGTCCTCCACGTCCCGTCACACACACCGCATCCATCAAGTAATTTATCGGATCCAAATACTCCGTCACAACCAAACTCCTAGGTAAACAAAAATAGTCCAATAAACAGATAATTATTATTTTTTTTTAAAAATACAAAAAAAATGATTAAAACATCGCTTGTTTTCATTGGAATCTTTAGATTAAAGACACGGGCTTCAACTATTTCTTATCATGCCAAGCCCGCTGCACAGTGCGCGAGGCGTCATCTGACTGACCTAAGATTGCGTCAGTGACCGGTGCATTCTTCTGACCGGTGCAGTCATCTGACTGACCTAAGGCTGCGTCAGCGATCGGTGCAGTCATCTGACTGACCTAAGGCTGCGTCAGCGACCTGTGTATTCTTCTGACCGGTGCAGTCATCTGACTGACCTAAGGCTGCGTCAGCGACCGGTGCATTCTTTTACACATTGCATGTGAGAGTGACGTCGAACTAAGGGTGAATGGAAAAGTAACAGTAAACACAATCGACAAACCTAGGTTTATGTGCGTCATATGACGACCTTCGACGCGTTTCAAACGACGCGTCATAATTTATGACGCACATAAACCTAAGTTTGTCGATAAACCTCCTTTGTGAATTCGGGCCATTGCGTTGAAATACTGGCGCAAGCACTAATAGTAGCTATTGACACAACGTGTGCAACAAGCATATTATTCTCACTCTGCACTCTCCGTTGAAGCATCTTCGGGTTCGTCTAAGCTCATCTGGTTCTCGTTTATCCCAGCAACGTGTCCCATCTGATACTTTTTTAGGATCTCGGTTTAAAATGTTGCCCCGATTCGATTTGCACTTCAAAGCACATAGCTCATTGCCTATTAAAAGGAAGGACAATGATAGTGAAAGAAGTTATCATAACAACTTAAACAAAATGATTGCACTTGACCTGGCCTTCGCCGACAGGAATTTTAACCTTAACAACAGAAATAAGGAGCAAAATTCAAATTTATTTACCGAAGTCAAAGTTCTGATATCAATACAAACAAGCAAACAAACAAACAAAACAAAACATTATTGAGATAAGCTCAATAGGAACGAAAACGAACAAAGAGGAAGAGAAAGAGTGAGAGAGAGAGAGAGAGAGAGAGGGGGGGGGGGGGGCGGGGCAGAAAATAGATGTCATGCAGCTTTCTTCCCCCAATGAATTAAATGTAAACCCCAATAAAGACCAAAGGCCCTTTTAGTAACAAACTAGATTCCGCCGTAACCATGGTAACATCGTAATGTTGAGCTAAACATGATGTTTGGACAGGAGTGAGCATGGTCTTAATATGTCCCGTTTTTTAACAAACGTACACTCTTAAAAACAATAAAAACTATATATTGCTTTATTGATGAGCCTTAGCATAATGTCCTCTTTTCTTAAGAAATTAAATCTAGTTGAGATTTTTAAAAAGGCAGAAAATTATTACCGTATAGAGTGCCGTCAAGGTAAGCTGACCATTCATGATATCTAGCTTTAAGAATGATGGTGTTGGTGAGGGCGCACTCGCGATGTCGGAAATCATCTGGAGAGTTGATGCCTGGGCAGGGCTGTGAAAAGAGAACAAGACTCATATTATGACGATTCACCGCGAAACATAATGTCAGGTAAGAATGTGCATTTCTGTCATTTATAAAGGATATTTTAAAAAACAACGGGTTGTCTCCTCATATTATGTAATTTAACTTATTCTGAATCAAGCTTCGTTATGTTGTGAAAAACCTATATAAATTTTCTATCCGTTCTTTCCTTCCAGTGTTTAAATGGAGATCCAGTAGGATAGGAAATTCATCGTGTTTTGTTCAACGTTGCGAGCATTCGATGGCGCCTGGCTGGAATGCTCCACAGGGAGCGAAGAATGTGCATACTTTGCATGCGGGCAAGTTGAAATTCGATTACTGAAGTAATAAGTATATGTGACATCTGTGCTTAGAGACATCGTTAATGTATTAGGCGCTATATTATTTAAGAATATATTCATTTCGCTTAAATCTCGAAAAATACAGAACAAATTATGCCACATTGTGCTAAAAATACGAAAAGAGGTGAGAGTTATCATTAGAAGAGACATCTTGATAATATTTTGATGAGAGATGACTCAATATCGTACTTCCGTGTTACACGTCTTCATGCTGTACATAGTTCCTTCACAAGCTTTCCCGCCAAAACGTGGTCCAGGTCTATTACACCTTCGTCGTCTGGACATCACCCCCGAACCACACGTACGAGAACACTGCGTGTAGTTTACCGGCCATTCACCCCAATTACCGTCTACAGGCTTGGGGACTCCTCCGATAGATGAACGACAAAATCCGTCATAACACCACTGCAAAAAATAGTGACGTAAACAAATGGAATTGCAACATAATAGGAAATCCATTAATATAAGTTGACAAAATCAGAAGAAAAAAATATATATATATATAGAAACAGATCAGTGAAAATTTGAGGATAAGAAAATTGTGAAATGTTAATGGTGTAATCGGTCAATCGCAAATTGGCAAATCTATCGACCTGATTAATGGCTGATGACGTATTAGGTCTCAGGGGTTGTATAAATACGTAAGTGCAGTAAAATAAATTTGGATTGCATCATTTTTAAGGAAATGGAAATTCATAATTTGTTTTAGAAAAGAGAAAATGGGAGAGGACTTCAAAGATACGTAATGTATTTGTATTGTATTTATTAAACTTCATTGATGTACATCAATATTCTGTTTATTAACATATAATCACTTTACAATGTAATGTAACAAATCAATATTCTATTTGGAAACATATATGTCATAAGTCAATTTACAATGTAATATTCTGTAAATGGAAAGAAATCAATCCATCTTACCATGTTCGTTCCGCAGGGTGTGCCCTCTACGACAGGCGTGTAATGACAATAACTACCTATTCGACACGGGACCTGTCCACAAGTCTGTCAAAAGAAATATTTATTTCGATTGCAACGTATAATAAGATAATACTTGTGCTACCATGTCCTTACTTCCCATTGATCTGTACTTTGGTCTTCAAGATGTTCGTCACATTATACTTGATGATTAGCTAGATACATTTTGACTCATTTTTTTTATGACAAAAGCACGGAATTGAAGTTTTGAAAGCTGCAACATTAACAAATTAAAGTAATTTTTTTTAAATGAATAATTTATTATTCTATACCGTAATCATTTCAATTATAAGTATTTTACCATTCCTTATATCGTAGCTCTCAAGGGTGTCGATTTGTATCCTCAGTTGGGGGGGGGGGGGGATGATAGGTACCAAAATATTTTTGGCAATGGATCAAAGCAACCAAGAGGTAGGACGTATGGCAGGTTGCACCCCCTCCCTTCCAAGTTTTTAACTTTTTCAAGTCACCCTCAATAAAGATAACATTTTAGAGAATATGGGACCCATGTGGGTCCCATATGCGCTTGCTACCTGGGTTATTATCCTCTCAAGCATTTAGGCAGGATTTTATTTTAGGGGGCGGTAGTGAGCACCTCCTAGGGGGTGGGTGCAGGGAGGGGGAAGCTCTGACGTTTCATTAAATTATTAAAGAAAGAAAACGATTCGTTGTACCATTCTCGACTCTTAATCCTTGTCTGAATTCAGTTCCCCCCCCCTTACCACGCGAAGCGCGGAAGCTTCGACGTTTCATTAAATTATGAGAGAAAGAAGACGATTCGTTGTACCATTCTCGACTCTTAATCCTTGTCTGAATTCAGTTCCCCCCTTCCCACGCGAAGCGCGGAAGCTTTGACGTTTCATTAAATTATTAGAGAAAGAAGACGTTACGTTGTACCATTCTCGACTCTTAATCCTTGCTGAATTCAGTTCCCCCCCCCCTTCCCGCGCAAAGCGCGGAAGCTTTGACGTTTCATTAAATTATGAGAGAAAGAAGACGAATCGTTGTACCATTCTCGACTCTTAATCCTTGTCTGAATTCAGTTCCCCTCTTCCCGCGCGGAAGCTTTGATGTTTCATTAAATTATTAGAGAAAGAAGATGATTCGTTGTACCATTCTCGACTCTTAATCCTTGCTGAATTCAGTCCCCCCCCCCTTTTTTTTTTTCGCGCGAAGCGCGGAAGATTTGACGTTTCATTAAATTATTAAATTATTAGAGAAAGGAATACGATTCGTTGTATCGTTCTCGACTCTAAATCCTTTTTCTTCCTACGTCCTCTTCCTTTCTTCTTTCTCTCTCTCTTTTTTTTTGGGGGGGGGCGACCACCCCCACCACCACCTTGCTACGCGCCCAGTCTCCCACTCTCTTCTTATTTTTTGCACTTTTGCACTTCGCGCTTAACATTTACTAAGCTCGTTGCTTTTTAACGCTGCGGCTCTGCATTTGGCGCACTGCATTTATATGATGATGTTGAATAAATTCATCAATTCCTGATGAAGCCTTATGAGCGAGAATTCAATTTATTCTTGTCTCATATACGGTCGTCTCATTTACCTCGTTTTCTATTTATATATGTTTGTATTATGAAAATGAGATACCAAAAAGTGTATATTGATGGTCATCTTGCGAGTAATAACCATTAACTACTCTCATCGGGCTCTCATCATTAATTTTTTGTTTGTTTTGATGATGAATTATTGGGGGGAATGATTGTACAGGCCACCCCCCCCCCACCTGAAATATTGGGGGGATATATCCCCCATCCCCCCGGGATCGACACCCATGGTAGCTCTTATAAGTAAAGTAAAAGTTTTGATTTCTCAACTTCAATGCACATGTAACCAATTGTGTTTATTCTTTAGTTGTTGTTGTCATGTTATTATTGTTATTATTATTTTTGTTTTGTTCTGAATATAATTATACTGCCGAAATCACACACAGAATGCGCACATTCGTACTTACAACATGTGCTCGTTCAAATGGGCATATTCCAATGACAAGATCAGCCCCAAACACCTTCTTACATTGCTCCACGCGACCATACTGCGCACCGGCTAACTGGTCTATCGGTATCAAATCAACATCCGGGTGATCCAGTGATGGCATATCAAGAAGACAGTCTGTGTCAGGTGACCTAGAGAAGAAGAAGAAACAAAAATCGACATTTCATTGTGAGGTTGCTTAGATCAAGGAGTGTAGTAACTCCTTGCTTAGATACAAGCAGAAGGGAACATGGGCACATGCCCCATGCAAGGCGATAAAGAAAAGAAAAACATAGAAGAGAGCCATGGACACAAAACTATTCATAATACCAAACCCAAAGCCTAACCTAAACCCAATCACAACCCGGCCTAGCCCTAATCATGCTAAGCTCTTAACATTCCTGCCTTTTGCTGGTACTATATTCTTGTGATTCTTGTGAAATGTCGTACTTAATTGAGGATGAGCTGTAATTCGCTATTTGTCATATATAGTGTATTATAAAAAATACTTATTATAAATATCGATACATGTCAGTATTTTTGATATATTTTTATGGACCCGATGGGACCATTCGTGAGACCATGATGATGGTACAGAGGAAAAGCTCAAATATCAATAGGCCTATTCCTCGAAATGCTAAATACCGACATGGCTCACAATATGGCTTATGAAATCAACAATGCTGTGTATAAAGTAAACAATTATTTACAGGTGCAATGGAATCCAATGAATCATGTGCTAATGAAGTCCTACCAGAAAAACACACACACATGATAACCAATTAATCACTCTTGCTTTACTTGCTCAATTAATCATTTTTGCTTTACCATGGAATTCAAACCCGAAGCTGGAAATAAGCTTGGTCTTAAGTGGAGTGACATGCGAGTGTCATCGTATCTCATGCAGTTAGATCACGGTCTATACATTTCCCTTTCGTTTGACGAAACCTAGTCATCGCATCGGGTTTAATTGAATGGGTAGAAGACAAATATTTGAGTGGTATAGGTTTACAGAACTTACTTGAGGAATTCTGCTAAGTGTTTTGAACTGCAACTGGACCATTTGAAGTTGTTAGCTCCTATTGACTTAGTGGATGACATGATGTTTCTACCATTTTCACAACCATAGGCTGGATCGTGGTTCAGATTCAAACTGTAGCGAGATGAGAAGAAATCTGGGTTTAATCTACTTATAGGCGCATAGGGGCGTCAATAGTGGGGGAGGGGAGGGGAGTGTGAGGGGAGGGGAGGGGGAGGACACCCCGTTGATATATATATTTTTTTAATCAAAGAAGAAAAATAATGTCTGTCGGCAAATTTGAAAATATCATGACCAGATTTATCTTTAACTTGAAAATCTGAAGTGACATTTTCTTGTTAGTTGACATTTTTTTCAGGTAACTTTTCGGCAAGTTGGTCCGACGTCCAAGAGTTCAACATGGTGTACCGACCACTTCATGTTCAGAATACCACCCCTGGTATCATCTTGGGCCTAAACTCTTTCGCTTACAGAATGAGACGGAGCTATCACAATTGTTAGTTACAAGTTATTCTATAGATCTGATTTTATTTATTTATTTCTCTTCATGACATTATTTTTCTAATTTAAAATCTGTCTGGTCATCTCATATTCTTCACTGCAGAATTAATATCCTTCCGGATCCAAACAGATTTTGTATTATTTTAATAACAGCACATTTACCGTACTCACAAATGAAAATAACATTAACGAATTTGCGAAATAAAAAGAAACAATGGCAAAAGGCTGATGACGATTCGGAGGAGCATACGAAATGCGGAATAAAATCTTACTTATTTTTTTCTTCCATTTATCTTCTTTCGAGGGACTTTATTTGTTCATTTCATAAAGTAATAGCTATTTACAACGTTTATAAACAGAATTCATGTAATAATTGTAAGATCTTACTTATGACCAAGTTCATGAGCGATGGTTAGTGCTGCTTCCAAACCATCTTCTTCATTGATACCACAAGACATTGTGCTGCTACAAACTGTCCCCATCGCTGCCCTTCCTAGGAGTCCCATCCTCTTATTGGCCCCCGACCCTAAGTACAAATCTCTCCTGTAAAAAAAATTATATATATTATAATCACATTATACAGTATCAAACAATCACTTTAGGTATTGAGAAATCTTGATATATTGATCAGTTACATACTTCAAAGGATAATAAATAAGTAGTGCTTCATTGAGGCATTGATTGAAAATAAAATTTGGAACGCATAGGGGTATATCTGATTCTATTCTTTTTTTTAGTTGTTAATAGGAGAATAAGTCATTTATTGTTAGTTTTTTGGATATTATTTGGACAATCAGCGCAGGATTGATAGCGATATTAAATGGAAAATCAAGAAATGTTCCATGTTAAATTCGTATATTATCTTCATATAGAACGCAAACATTAACACATTAAAATACAATTGCAAACTATACCGTTTAAGAAAACTGCCCACTGGACCGACATCAAACGAAACTATAGGTTTTCCCGCCCAATTTCATCAGAGTCGCATCCGATTTAAAGATGCGATCATTCAATTTCGAGCAAATTTGAATGATCACCGAGATCAACATTCAAACAGCTGAATAGTTAATTCAATTTAATGCGATTTGCATGCGATTTCATGATTTTCTCACATAAACGTGTAAAAAGCGCATTCAAATTAAAAAATGCACGTTAATGCATTTAAATTCGCACCTGCATCGCTTTGATGAACGTTAAGGTATTCTAATTCACGAATAGGCAATCATTTATAACATTTGGGCGGTCTTTTTTGTTGTTGTTACTGTTTATGTTCTTTGCAATCTGCATCTGTTTGATAAATTATGCAAACTTTATGTACCTTGAAGTGGGACCTTTGTCTTATATTGAAATATCTCATTCCTCTGACAAACCGTCATTGAAGCAAGAGCTCGCATAACACCACTTTCATACGCATACTTTCATTTATACATTGACTATGACGGCGGCTCGAGGAGAGTGCACGAATATCTCGAATAGAAAGAAAATAAATATCTAAAGTATGATTAAAATAAACATAATAAAATTAAAAAAATGAAATGAGTTATTTAATTAAAAACATTGATAACTAAATTAAATATGACGTGAACAAATTGCTGTAAGAATTACATAGAACTACAGAACTTGTTTATGTTAATTTAATTCGAACGTTCAAAGTGCGAAGGTGTGTGCCTATAGATGAAATTGAATTCGGTATTAATGAACGTCTATCCAGCTGGAGCGAAATTGAGTGACAACTTCGTGTCATTAAATTGAATGGATTTATCTCTAAATTGAATGAAATAAAAATTTAAAACGAATGATATAAAACGAAATTGAATGCTCAAAGAATGAAAATGAACCATAAGAGCAGAGAGTTGATGAAAATCGTTCGAACTTGAACGCCTATTCATGAATTCGAATGCAACTCTGATGAAATTGGGCGGGAAAACCTATAATTTCGTTTGATGTCGGTCCAGTGGGCAGTAAGTTTTCTTAAACGGTGTTACGACATTACAGTCGGTAGTAGTGTTATCCAAGCTGTGGGGGTACAGAATACCACAGTCCTAACGTCATATTCGCTCCTACCCCCATGCAGATTACTGGTTCCAAACAACAGAGCATGCTCATTGCATGAGGTTCACTGCGAAATCATTCAAGCATTGGGCGAGAGCTAGAGCATGGCAAATTCAGTGTGTGGCGCTGGTGTGATCTCAACGCCATTTTTTAGCACAAAATTATTTGGAATCAGCAACCTTGACGACTTGTTCAGTATGACTTCTCACTTCGGTACTCTATACAGAGCTTTTCGTTGGAGTAAATAACCATTCAGATTTGAATTGTAGTGACGTCACGACTGCCGAATTTTTGTAACGCCACAACTTCTTACCAACAGCGATCGACTCGGCCTTTTATCCATAATAATTGGGTGAACTATGCGACATCTCAATTAGGTAGAAATGACATATTATCCCAAAATCTGATCATGTTGCATTTAAAAAACAAAACAAAAATGCAGTGGTAGAAAGGTCGCATTGTGCAGGAGCATTGATGCACTAAAATAAATGACGATGACCTAGGGCTACCTACCTTGTCATAAGTATGGTATTATCAAAATGAAGAGGATCATCGTCACTTGAAGGATTCATAGCAGCCTGCCAACTGCAGAGTTCATTGACAAGTGTCTCTCCACTAGCATGAAAAGTCAGAGTATGGTTGTTACCATCTTGGCCAGTCATCTATGTGAAAAATAATGATGATTAAACTACTACTACTATTACTACTACTACTACTACAACTAATAATAATGTATTCATATAGTGGATTTTACATAAACATTTTCAAATGAATCCATGAAATAAAAGCATTGTTATCACTATTTATCTATCAGGCTATAGTTCATCCAGACGTTGGACAAAGCCCTCTCATAACATTTCCATTCTCTGCTGTCTTTAGCTGTCCTAGTCCATGCAGCCGTTCCCATGTATGATGTTAGGTTATCTCCCTATCTTCTCTTCTGCCTTCCTCTTCATCTCTTTCCCATCCTTGGTTGCCATTCTGTTAAACGATTTGTCCATCTATTGTCCTGAAGTCTTGCTACATGCCCAGCCCATCTCCACTTTGATTCTCTGACTTTCTCCATGATGTCTTTAACCTTTGTTTTCTGGCGTATGAATTTGTGCTTGATTTTGTCTCGCAGAGATAGATGTGTCATCTTTCTCTCCATAGCTCGTTGAGTAGCCACAAGCTTCTGTTCTAGATCCTTTGTCAATGACCATGTTTCTGATCCATATGTCATAGTTGTTAGAATGCATTGGTTGAACATTCTTCTTCTTAGTGACATGGGTATGTTTTTATCAGTCAACATGTCTTTGCATCTTCCAAAGTTCATCCGTCCTGCTTTTACTCTCATTATAACTTCTTCTTTTGTGGTGTCTTCCATTTTCAAAGTTTGTCCCAGATACTTGTAACTGCTCACTCTCTCTTACGTTCAAATTTCTATCTATTCTGTATTATATTCTATAACAAAAAGCATTAGTGCTATCAAGCGCCATTTTGTGTCATCATTATCATCATCATCATCATCATCATCATCAATATTATTACTGTTATTAGTCAGGCGCGGATCCAGGGGGGGGGGCCGAGCGTGCCTTGGCCCCCCCCCCGCAAAAAAAAAAAAAAAAAAGGAGAGAGAGAGAAGGAAAAAAAGGGAAAGAGGAGAGAAAGGGAAAAAAGAAGAGGAAGAAGAAAAGAAAAGAGGGAAGAAGGAGATCGGGGGGGGGGGGAAGGACTTGCCTCCTCCTTCCCCCCCCCCCAATAAAAAAATAAAAGAGAAGGAAGGAAAGGGAAAGAAAAAAGATAAAGAGGAGATAAAGGGAAGGACAAAATAGGAAGAAGAAAAGAAAAGAAGGGGGATATCAGTTGCAATTTTCCCGCCAACAAGTTGTGGATCGAGGGGGGGGGGGGCAAAAGACCCTAGCCTCCCCCCCCCCGTCCCCGCTAAAAAAAGAGAGAAGGAAGGAAAAGGAAAAGAGGAGAGCTAAAAGGGAACAAAAAGAGGAAGAAAAAAAGAAAAGGGAGAAAAGAAGCGGAGATCAGTTGCGGTTAATCCCGCCAAAAATGTGTGGAGCGGGTTGGGGACCAAAATGACCGTGCCCCTCCCCCTGGCTCTTAAAAAAAAAAAAAAAAAAAAAAATGCCAATGGCTGACCTAAAAAAGGTGACCTCACCCCCCCCCCCCAACGGAACAAAATGTCAAATTTTCAAATTTCGAGACCAAAAAAAAAAAAAGTGTCCGCTCCCACCCCCCCCCCCCCCCCCCCCGCTTATTTAGCGGCTGGCTGAGTCGTTACGATTTTTTTTCGGACAAAAAAAAAGTGGGCCCCCCCCCTAAGAAATCCTGGATCCGCGCCTGGTTATTAGCATTATTTTTATTATTATTGTCATCATTTTCATTATTATTATCATTATCATTATTTGTATCATTATTATTATTATTACTATTACTATTATTATTATTATTATTATTATTATTATTATCATTATTATTATTATTATCATCATTATTATTATCATCATTATTA